TAAGTTTCCGGATAGCCGAGATACAGGAGGTGTCTGAAAATCGTAAATTTCAAACACTCCCTGTATATCAAAAACGAAGAGGGCTATGAAAATTTGGTTTGCGCCAAGTTTCACAAAAAAGTAGCTCAGGTTCGCGAAAGCCGCAACTTTCTATCTTTCATAATAACTGAGATACCCTGCAAACCCATCGAAATTTGGACACCCTGTACATAATGAATTTGTGTTTGTTCTCATTATTTTATTAGTTCGCCGAATTGTGAATTAGAATTTAATCGAATGAGTTTTCAACTTTAAGAAAGTTCATTTGTAAGTAACTTTTTCTTTTTAAATGAAATTTTTGGTTTGAAGGTTTTCCGAATTTGCAATGTTAATTTTTAGATCAGTTTGTTTAATTTTTGTTTTTTCGTTTTGTAGTTCTGAAGATGCTTACATTGTTTAAGCGAAACATGTAAAATTAGAACTTAATATTCAAATCAATATATTTAATTAACCAGTTAAAGTGCAAAATAATTATTTATATTCCTTTTCCGTCGACTGTGTATTTATATGATTTATAAATGTATACAAAATTATTCATTAATACACCTATTAATAAATGATTTTCTATTAATAAACGATTTTAAGAAAGTCCGACCGAACTAATATAGTAGTCAATTATTCTCCAATCAAATCGGTGACACCGACCCAATCGACCACTATATCTATTCGTTAAGACTACAATATTAAGTTTTGACTTTTGACACATTAAGAGTGAGGTTTTTATTTTGCCAGTGATAGAATTGGGAGATTTTTCAACGATGGATTTTTTCTATTTTGTTGAAAGGACAGTCAACGGAAAAATATTGTAACTAACTGCGATAAAATGCGATTAATTATCTCAATAATTAAGTTAATATATCTCGATAATTAATCGCCTTCATTAATAGACTTGTTGGTTAGATAACTATTAAATGACATTAAAACAAATAAGCTAGAGGGCGTTATCTGCAGCGATTACATATTCTTGTGATTTTCGAAGAAAAGTTAAACGGAACGATACTATTTACATCACAGATCCTTAGTCACCTTAAAATTTGCAAAATTTTAGTGAAAATCGCATCTCGATATCGCCACCCGTTCTCGAATTATAGAAGAAAATGTTAAAAACTCGAGTGCCATCAATCGGATCCATTAATTTGGTAATACAGTGGAACGATAAGTCGAACCTCATAAGAAATGAAAGTTATATATTGATAGTAAGCTATATATAAACTATATATTGAAATATATCGCAAACCATTTTAATATAATAAAATCAAAAATCAATATAACAAAATATAATACTCCTATATAACAAAAAATATAATATATTATTATACATATAAAATACAGGGTGCCCATTATGTATGGAATATAGTATATGCGTTGGTAAATATCAACTTTATAAAAAAACATTTTATACAAAAGTTGTTTAATATTTTATTTGCCATAATAAGAAAGTTAAAGCGTAAGGGTTTATTTGATCTATGATCGACCAGTTTTTGATAATTGAAATAATTAATCAATCTGTACTTTTTACTGGTTTTAAATTTATTAATTACTTTGTCTTACATGTTTCGATAATTATTTATCATCTTCAGAGACGTGCGTCAAAATTATTAAGAAGAAACATTTTAAAATTAGGATTTAACGTGAAACAATTAAAATCGGGTGTAACACGAGGCATGTTGTATTTAAGAAAACGGACAAATTTGAATGCACATAATTTTGATATTGAATAATTCTATTTAAAATTTGAAGGAAAGTTTCATAAAGCTTTATTTATAAGTTTTATATTATATTAATTATATTACTGAAATTTTTATCTGACGTTTTATTTATAGAAATACTCTAAAATTATTTATTAGAGGAACATATAAAAAATCGTGTATTTGTTGTTCTGAAAAATATAAAAAAAGATTTAAAATAAAATAAAATTAACACATTTAAAAAAACGGTGATCCATTCTTCGGCCCACTTCAGACTGGGACGGTTTTATCTGGGTTAAGGAAGAGGGTAACTTCCTTTAGTCTCAGAAATCGAATTGAATAGAAACAAAAGATGTCTACGTCTTCTTCCAGTACCAGTGTCATGTCGGAGCTAACAGCGGACGATTCGCATTAAATCTGAACAGAGCTGTACAGGATAATCATGTGTAACGCAGCAAATTTTGCGCTGACACACTGATACTAGCGCACCTAAGTGAGTTAGTGCAATGTATCAACTTAATTGCGCTATAACACAGTTGCTGGATGCTCACATCTATCTCTCGCCGGTCAACTGCGCCGGTACCGCCTGCTGTCTCGTTCCAAGTTTTAGCAAATTAAGGTTTTATAAGTGATTAAGGGCTGGAATTTTCACTTACATACATATTTGTAAATCTTCAAGCCACACCGGCATGCTTTACTACGTCAACGGTGACGCAATTGCGTTAATTCATTTTAATATTGGGTATCAGCGCACGTAACACACTGTACTGAGTTAACTTAATTGCGCCGCGCAGCGCAGTGTTACACATCTCTAATCCATAGCCATTTTGTAGTTCAAAGATGTACCTACTTCTCTATACTCCCTGTTCACAGATCCCCTCGTATTTCTTTCGAATATGAATAGATTCATCCTTTTTGCTAAAACAGGCCAAAATAGCATTTATTCGCACATAAGATGCGTTTCTTAATTTCTGCAATATAAATAACAATATGACGTTATCTATACTTAGGTACTGAAATTTTGCGGCAGCCTAAAAGTTCTGGTTACCAATTCTAATGATTTGTTGAGGATCTCGCAACTTTCTATTTTCCGTAACTGCCATAAACTTTGTCTTTGTCGTAGCTATGGTTATTTTTCTTCTTTTCCAACCCTGCGGTTATAATTAATACAAAATAAACTACTATTTCAACGAAATATGATTTTTGTTTGTATATGTCACTTGGACTGAATTATTAGGTGCAATAAGAATATTAAATATGTCACAAAAACCTTATGTACAGTTTAAAAATTCACTACGAATTATCGACGATCTGGAGCGCATAAAACATTTAAAAAAAATATTTTCAAATACTTATTTAATAAAAAAAAATGGTTGAGAATATTATAACATTGAAATTTTTAAGAAAAAATCAGAAAATTAATAAATTATTTCTTTATTATTTTTGTATAACATTTTAAATATATACAATACACAAGGTGTGGTGCTTCTATTTTCTTGTTGTAGGACTCCTGGTAAAAATATAGAATATGATAAAATTTTTTTCAAATGTTCTTTCCAAAACTATTAAATTCCCTGGAAATAAAGATACAAGACAATTTAATTAGTTTCCTAGAAAACCCAGCCATTAAAGATAATGACGCTGTTTACTAGTACCAACTTCGATTACTTATTTATACGATTTTTTCTAAATCGAATAAAATGACTTTCAAATTATTCTTTTTAACCTTGAAAAAAAAACAACCATTGTTCCGAATAAGCATTTAAGAAGTCGTTAAAGAAAATCGAAAATCTTATCACCATTAAACAATCTTAAAATCAGTACTTTCAAAGCACAGTCTTTATTGATTATTCAACAAAGAAAATTTTAGCCACGTTTGTTAAAAATAAAATTTTACGTTGACGTTACTTATTAAAAAGTCTTCATACCTTTTTGTCTTTCCACCTTCTTTATTTATTTTCTGCCATTTCTTCTTGTTCCGCACGTTGTCTTTCCGCAATTTCCGACTTAAGTTTCAAGTGTTCCATAAGAGAAACATCAACATCAACAGTACCTTCTTCTTCACCGGGTTCGAATGCTATAGGTTTCGGCGGTGCATTTAATAGTCGGTAGATTTCTGCTCGTGCTTCCAAGATTTCTCTTACAATATCTAATTTAAAAAATTAAGAAAAGGTTTTGTTTAAAAATTAAATGAAAATAATTAAAGTGCATTGTTACCGCTTAAGAAATCTCTGCTGGAAACGATCTCGTGTAATTCTTCGGAAACTTCTTTCATCAACCAAGGCATAAAAGTTTCATCTAAATCTTGTTTAATATTATCTGTTAAGAAACCGTCTTCTTCTAGCCCTTCCAATACGTTAGGTAACAAATCAGCCATGTATCCTTGAAGAAGTACACTGGCAGCGATTCTTTCTTCCATTTCTTTTTGTACTGATAACCCTTCCTTGTACTCGGCTAACCTGGCATCTCTTTCTGCTTGCCATCTCTTTTCCCTTTCTTCTAACCTCATCATTTCGGCCAATTGAGTTGCACGAAGTTCCATGAATCTCCTTTGTTGTTCTTTTAAAGCCGCTAATTCTTCCTCTTCCAACACTTCTATTAAAGCTTGTTCGATGGTCTTTCCAACCAAAACTTCCAAGATCGGTTGGACTTCCATATCAAAGTCAAACAGATCTCCTGGATAGATTTGAGTGGAAACATCGGCTCCAGTTTTAGCTGGAACATAAAAGGGAGACAGCGGCCTGTCGAGGAAGAGGTCAGTTTGCGTGCAGACGTCTTCTTGTGGAGGATCGTTTGCTAATTCTTCTAAGTAAAGATCAGTTTCGACAGTTTCATGTCTTCGACCTTTAACCGGAGGTGGTGAAGATAAACGAAGTTGAGCTGTACGTAATTGTTCTTTTTGACTTTTTCTACGTGCCATCGCTCGTCTTCGTGCCTCTGCCGCTCGTGCAGCTGCCGATTCACCTTCACCCTGCAACAAATTATCATATTTTTTGCATAATTATATGAAATAATTTCAATTTCGTTTTGATTCACCGTTTGCATGGGACCTTGAGAAAAATTACTTCCTCGAACAACTCTTCTCTCAAACATGAGGTTGGCGTACGGAGGAGGTGCATCGCTAAAAGAATAATTTTATTCAAAATTTTACTTTAAAAATGTACCGTAAATAAACTGTGAAATTAAAAAGAGATTTTACGTAAAACATGTTATCGCTAAAAATTGACCCGATTGCGGCATTTTTAGGACACGGTCAGTGGTTGTGGGACGAAATTTGCATTCAACGGCGTTTCGAATGAAAAGACGTGCAAAGTGCATTTGAATCGATAATATCAAGATTAAGAGTGGCATTCAGAAACAGTATTACACTGCTTTTCACACTACAAAGAGGTAGGACCTTGAAATGATCTTATTTGAACTTTTATAGTACCAGATTTTTTTATTTATGATTCTAATGAGGTAATAATGATCCTATATTCTTGTGTAGGAAACGTGAAAACTCATTATTCATAAATAGGACCAAAAATATGTAAACGTTGAACTAAAATTAGAACTAAAACTAGACTAACACTAGAAACTTTCGGGTTTTGTCGTGCCTCAAAGAAACAGGTTCGAAACACACCTGTTTTTGAAGAAGGTTGCAAGATGGCATCCGAAACGTCAAACCTTTTCTTAAAAGACGCACGGCAAAACCCGAAAGTTTCTAGTTTTAGTTCAATTCACACCGGCCCACAGTAGTCAATTTCATGAATTTAGGAGGACAAAATTCATACCTCAAAAACCCAGCAAGCTACGGCAATGAAATTTCGTATGTAGCTGTTAGCAACAAAATCTAAGATTTGTATCAAGTTTGGATCATATTCGTCAACCGGAAGTGGTACTTTATTTGAAACCATATTGAACTTGTTCTATATAAACTTGCTGGTTAAAGAGAGTTAAACAAATGAAATATTACATAAGCGATTAAAATTATGAGAAGCATTCATACCGTACATTTCACTCGAACCGCGTAACCGGAAGTTGTCCTTTATCTGACCACCATCTATCATTTTTTATACAGTGTGTCCGTAAATTAGCGGATATAGGCGATAAAATCATTATTAACGGTTTATTCAAAAATCCCTGAGACCGGTCTAAAGATTTACATTTTTTGCAATTTTTTAGTGTAGATTTCAAATTTTTTCCGCCATTTTTAAACAAGTTATGATGTTTTTTTCAAATGACAATCCCCCATTTTTATTACGGAATATGAAAGAGGATTTTTTTCTGAATCTAGTACAGTCAATATTAATATTGCTTACATAAGAAAATTGTCGAGAAAAATTAATTTAAAGTTCTCGTACTTCAAATTTGTATAAATGATAAAAATAGCAGTAACTATATTAACCAATTATTTTAAACAATAGCCTGAGCGTCAAAAACTGATTTCGTAAAGCTTCTTGAAGTGTGGTGACGCGCCATCTTGTTGGAATAACTGCTCTTGGAATTGAGTTGGGTCAACATTATCGGGATGGATGGATTGACAACGTTTTGAAAAAATTTAAATATCTCTTTCCAGTTAAGGTTTCCTCAAATCTTTTGCGGATATTGGGTGTGCGACTTTCTTGGCGAATTTGGATTTTGGCTAACCCAATACCAACAATTTTGTCTATTTTACTTGTCCACTCAGTGTATATGTTCCTTCGACGGAAAAAATTATGTTTTTGACAGTCTTCTTCATCGTTGCAAAATTGTTGTTGCAAAAACTACGATTCATTGCCCGTGAATGACATTTATTTTATGGGAATGATATTTTGATATTAAAATTTTGTGAACCGTTGATTTACTAATGTCGAAATTAGACCCAATACTCCTTACAGTAACATGAGGGTTTTCTTACCCAGCAAAACCACGTTTTGTTGAATCTCTCCTGAAACAACTACTTACTAAATCAGTTTTTGACACTTAGGAAAATGTTTAATACATATAATTGGTTAGCATAGTTACTCATGCTTATTGCTATTTTTATCATGTCATCAAATTTGAAGCAGTTAAACTTTAAAGTAATTTTTTTCGAAAATTTTCTTATGTAACCAATATTAATATTGACTACACTAGATTCAGAAAAAAAATCATATTCCCTAATAAGAATGGTGGATTGCCATTTGAAAAAAATATCGATGACGTCATAACTCGTTTAAAAATGGCGGAGAAAATTTAAAATCTGCACTAAAAAATTTAAATGTTTAGACCCGTTTCAGGGATTTTTCCATAAACCGTTTATAATGATTTTATCGCCTATATCCGTTACTTTACGGACACACTGTATATGTAAACTGGCATTTTACAGAATAATAGGATAAATGCATGAAATTAATTAATAATTTCTTTGTAGTCAAGAAAATATGTAGATATTAAATATCAGTCAAATTGCGTAACTGGAAGTGGTCAAGTTTGTTTATTTAGGAGGTTCATGTACAAACCTGTTTTGTAATTGATTGCAAGAAAAACGTTCTAGTCGATTAATTTGGAGTATTTAATGAATTTTTATGGATTCATGTCTATTTATGTGTTTTTGTTACAATTAAATTGTAATATAAACTGTAGAATGTGCACTTTATAAACCAACTGTTTATTATGATAAATGAAATAGCCTTTTTACTATACAAATTTAATTATATTTTAAAAAAATATAAATTAGGGGGCAGAAATTTAATATCGTGCATAAATTCTATTGAAATTTTTATTTAAAGTTTGTATCTGCGTTTGTGACACTCTTCATTTCATTTTGTTAGGGTTTGACAATGAGGATATGAATCCACTTTACTTGAGGTATGAAATTGCCATAATCATATCACTTCTGCTTTTCTTTCGAAGCGTGAAAATATTGAGATTTAATCCCGAATTTACGCCACTATGTTACCTCATTTTTGTCACATTCCTCATTTGATAGTCAATATTTTCTAAAGTCAGTGGAAGTAAGTAAAGTCTTATATACCATCTTATAGCTAATCCTTCAGGTTACAAAATAAAGAAAGAATTGTAATGATTCATTATGAACCGTGCAAGAAAAATCAAATAGAAATGTGAATATGTGATGTTAATTTTTTAAATTTAAGAACTAAAGCCTAGTGAACTAAATAAACGTAGTTATATTGAGTTGTTATACTAGTTGTTATACTAACTGTATTATAAATACAGTTAAAGGTATGGACTATCACTATATAAACTCAGTATATGTATATTCAATACACATTGCATATAACCGTACAATATAATCAAACAATACAACAATCTTAACGAAATTAAAGAAACGAAAAATTCTTAATTAAACATCCGGATAGTGGTAATGAAACCATTCCAATCAAAAAAAAATCCTATATTATATGCCAGTCATACAGTAAGCGAAATACCGCATGATTATACCATAAAAAAATGACCGATTTTTGTATTTTGTCCTCCTAAATTTGAGAAATTGACCACTGTGCGGCCGTGAACGTCTTCGTACTTATATGTAAACGTCCTAAAGAATGTCTAGTCCATTCTTTAATCAGAAATTTGTTTCCGATCGTGAATTTTGAGCCGATTTGTTTCAATTGATTCAATTTCACACTTAAGCCGCATAATCATTATACAGGGTGTTCTGTGACTCGACCGACAAACTTATACCATATATTCCAGGGGTCATTACGATCAAAAAATGGTGTATCACCTATAGGTGAATTCCTCTTTGTTTCAGAGATATCGAAATAAAAATGAAAAAGAACAAAAAAAAATAAAAATGATAAAAGAAAATTTATTAATTTACTAAATAACACAAAATTACAGCAGCTGTTCAAAATGAGAACAGGCCATTTTCTAAATATGCAGCTATCTTTCGTGTTATAGAACATTGCTAGTGAATTTCTTTAGCGAATTAGTAGCTTCAACCATTCTGTCAATCAACTTTTCGCGTGTATCTGGTTTACCATTACCACTATACGTACGAGATTTGAGGCAACCCCACAGAAAATAATCTAGAGGCGACAAGTCAGGTGACCGAGCTGGCCTATGTACAGGACCACATGCATAGGACCTCGTCCTATGCACCTTTCCGGAAAATTTTGATTAAGAAATACCGTGACTTGTCTCCCAATATATGATGGTGCCCCATCTTGCTGGAACCACATGCCACGACGAGCTTCACCTATAAGTGATATACCATTTTTTGATCGTAATTACCCCCGGAATATATTGTATAAGTTTGTCGGTCGAGTTACGGAACACCCTGTATATTTTGAGAACTGATGTAGCAAAGCTTGCTTGTGAAAAGTTTTATTAATTCTACGTAGTAGTTTTTGGTTAGTGCCCTTTCAAATATGGAAAGTGATAAGCAGCATCTTCGACATCATTTACTTTTTTACTATTGAGTCATCAATTATCTGATGTGTATAGATCTAATCTTTCAGAGCACCAGTGCCAAAACCGGTTTGAAAAATTTCGATTCGACAATTTTAATGTTGAAGATGCACCACGATCTGGAAGACCATCTGAAACTGATGACACAATAAGACTTGTGAGATCGCTGAGAAATCAAATTTCTCATTATCTCAGCGGGGTTGTTGCATAGCGCTAACACTATACAGGGTAATTCAAATTCGACCCCCACCATTGAGATTTCAGAAACCATAAGAGATACAGAAATGGTTAAATGGGGGCAAAGTTGTGTATCTTAGAGTTCATCAGTTTTGAACTAAGTTTTTGGATCTAGCCGGTTTAGTTTTTAAAAATTTCTTGTTGTGTCATGACACAACAAGAAATTTTCTCAGACGTTTCGTTTTCGTGAAACTATCATCAGGTTTATCTTTTTTTTGAATAATTCTAAATGGACTTTGTATTCGATGCTAAGAACGTGTTTAAACATCCATAGACAAACATTATCACATCGACAACTAGAAAAATTAATGACCCAATGTCACCAACTTTAACTGGTTCCATAAAATGTTACTAAAATCTCATTACAGCATCGGATGCTGTAAGGAGTCTCATTACAGCACCCGTTTGAGTACTGTTAAAGCTTTCATTACCGTCAGGAATTACATAAAATATATTTAGAAAACGCATTGTCATGTTTGGTTAGTTATGTTTACAAATCGAGTTAGC